GTCGACTGGTGTTAAGACCTCGACAAAGTGACGTTGATTTGGGCATAACGAAGGAAAAGTGTCTGCCAATTATAACAGCTGCAGGCTGCACCTGCATGCTCTTGGTCATGTGATGTTAGAACATTAATGTCAGCTTCATTGATGTGGAGCTATCTATCAAAGCATTATTCCAGCCGTGTCTAATCCAATTTACTAACGAATTGTTCTTCCTCGCATTCCTTTTTGTACAATAAAAAATGTCCTGTTTAATATAAGCTAGATGTTCGATATTACGATACATGATCCAACATAATAATCACATGTGGCTGACATATGACGATCGAACCGAGAGATACGTTGGCATCACATTGTGATACATGATCGTTCGAGTCGTGTGATTAGTGCGTGATATATATCCATGATCTAAATTAAACTAGTCAACACGAGCATCAAGCACAATGAACTTTATATCATGATTAAACGTGAAACACTATACGTTCCCATCCGACCATCAACGATCTCGAAAGTTATCGTATCCAGAGTCACCTATAAAAGAGACCTAAGCAATTCTTATTAGTATTATTGTTCAGGGGATATTTGTTGGGAACCCTCCCGATTTAGTTTTTACATATTCATATTCTACAAATCATGACATGGGCCAAAACTAAATCAGAACAAACGTCCTCCATTTACGATCGAGGTGTGTGGACTTGTTTGGCAGAGAGGGCCAGGCAAATTAATAATGGTGTATATTGTTATTAATGTTGCTCCCATGAAATCATCACAACAACAGGCAAAGAAGCAACCAAGTAGGCCGGCGGCTGGTGTCCCACTACGTTCCATGTCTGAGCGTAACAATAAAACAAAATAAATGAACCATATATTTATATCTTCTTCTTTCTTTGGGTTTCGTCTTTTTGACCTCGAATGGAATGGATTTAAATCAAAAGAGTTCAACGGAAAGGAAGGATCGGATACATCTTTCTCTTCCATTTTCTTGTCCTGAACTATTATTGGTTAAGCACTCCTGGGAGCATATATTCTACCCCTGCGTGCATGCATGGATGGATGACCGTAATTAATTGGTAGCAAAGAGAGAAGTTTGCTAGGGATTGGTGCTGCTATCTTGACTGTAGGAATCACTTCTTCTTCTTCTTCTTCTAGGAAACTGCATGCGAGAATCCAATTCTTGGGGGGAATAGTTAGAACCTTTTTAGTAGCAGTACTGTCATCATCACCTCGTTCTTAAGCAAATTTTATCTGCATCTCCACTACTATTTAAAGTCTTACAAATTTCACCTTATGCCGTAGGCGTTATTGGGTACATAAATACGTTTTAATAAGGGGCTTATTATGTTCGGTCTTTGTAATTGCATGATTACTTTATTTTCTTTCACATTTAACTATCTGCTTGGTTACATCGTCTGTGTTATATTATTATATCTTTTATAGTTCCCGGAGACAACTTGTCCATATTTAAAGATGTAATTGGTGGTATATAACATTAATGAACATGATAGTTCAAATTTTGGGGAATATAATGATGTAAATAGTTAATAATTCCTATTGAAAAATGTTAGAAAAATCATCCAAATGCTTTTTTAAAAACATGCTACAATGAAAAATAATTATAGATAAAAATAAACGACAGACATAATTATACATTAGTATTTTAAATTATTATTATTAAAGCGAAGCTAAAGGTGATGACAGAAAAGCCCTCCCTCCTATGCCTCTCTACCACCTTTTTGTATTATCTATATTTGCTGCTGCTCTTTAATTTCAGTGCCGCAGAAAGTTCCTCCAGAAAGTGAAGAGCTACTGCAGTTGCACAGAGCGGTTTGAAAGAGGAGGGTACGTTATCAATTTCACTCCGTCCTCTGTTTCACTGCAGCTCCTTAGTATACATATATATATATATATATATATATATATAGTTGGAAAAGCAAAGAGGAAAGATATATATATATATATATATATATATATATATATATTGTTGGAAAAGCAAAGAGGAAAGATATATATATATAAATATATATACATATATATATATATATATATATATATATATATATATATATTGTTGGAAAAGCAAAGAGGAAAGCTGGAAAAGTGAAATAGATTTATATGCTCAAGCTAGCTGTCCAAATATTGTTTCTTTGGGTTGAGGAGTAGATTCCGGAGCTCCTGTAAGCACTCCCTTTTCTCTTCTTGGGGCTATCAAACTTTTGAAGCACCATGATGGGTTCTTCACATCTGGATCACTTCCACCAAGAAGAGCTTCATGGCCTCGCCTCTTTAGCCACGGTTCCAGCTTTCCATGATCTTGCCTGCAGCCGTGAGTGGAACCAAAACCAGCTACTGTAAGTTTTCCTACTCGACTTCTTCCACAGCTCAGCTCAGCTCAGGTCGGCTGTATACTTCCTTGGTATATAGAAGAACGACTCGATTATCCTTGTTTTCTTCTACGTGTAGGCGAGTCAGAACTCACTTTATCTAATCCCTAGGATTTGGAATTTTCTTGCTTGGTCTGTTTGCTACCTCTATTTCCGTCGTGGATTCCTAGGGATTTGAAACCTAAGGATGATGGCATCTTTAAGCATATGTGCTCTACACTTTTAATCTCTGATAAGCACTAGTGCCCTATTTGTAATCCTAGAGACCTTCTTCCCGAGCTTGGCTTTTGCTCTCATTGGATGCATGGGCTTTGTGCAGTAACTTGGGTGACTACATTTCAAACGCCAACGGAACTCTAAATCATGAAATCTCTTCCCATAGCTCACCGATGATTCAAGACATGGGGTGTCAATGGGCTTGCAATGACCAAGAGGGCTTCGTGAACCAGCTGTCTGCCTATCAACTTAACCTAGCGACGGCCAAAGGGGAGTTGACAGACAACTCTTTCCGGAAGCTCAGTGGGTTCTTTAAGGATCACTCGGATCAAGACGACCAACCACACGAAAAGCTCTTCATGAGGGCATTAGCGTCAGATTGTCAGATGGATGGCCTTGGGCCGCTGCCGGGAAACTTGCCAGAAAACTCGAGCTTCGATAGTTATGAAGGTGGCCACGTGGCTCTTCCGACTGCTAATTTTTCGCAGTCCTGTCCGCATCGGCCAGGCATGATGGATGATGTTCATGCATTGGATCTCTCGGCTTCAGCTGGATTAGGAGGAGGGGTCAGCTTTTGCCAACCGTCGCTGGCCGGAATGGCTTTGCTAGGAGAGGATGCGTCTTCCGGGCTCGACCATCTACAAGAATCGATTCAAGGACCATTTTACCTCCATCATAAAGTGGGTACATTTATCTCTTCCCATCTAATCAAACAAGTCACGAATAAGTGGGCAATGATAATATATATACTTTTAGAAGAACTATGATAGCTAAGGTGGGAAAAAAGAAAGAAAAGAAAAGGC